TATTTTGAAAGAAAGATTGAAAAGTATTATGATTTATAATTATGTGTGAATTATGTGCCGTCATGACTTAATCAATAAGCATAGCAATCACGTCATGACTTTATCGATTAGCATCGCCATGACCTCATGATTTAATTGATCCGCATCGCCATGACGTCATAACTTAATTGAGAAGCAACGTCATGACGTCATTACTTAATCGATTAGCATCACCATTACGTCGTGACATTAATCGAAAAGCATCGTCATGACTCAATCGAATCTAATTGTAAAGCAAAACATTATTTATTACAACTTGAAAAGCTTCAATGAACGTTTGGGACACAGTTTCGTTGCAATTGTCCTTTAGAAAAAAGAAAATGTCTGAAACATGGTCAAAATATTAAAAAATTATATCTAGATTCTATATAGCATCGCCATGATGTAATATTTTAATCGATAACCACGCCATGACCTCATGACTTAATTGATCAGCATCGCCATGACGTCATAACTTAATTGATAAGCATCGCCATAACGTCATTACTTAATCGATTAGCATCCTCATGACTTAATCGAATCTAATTTTAAAGCAAATCATTATTTATTACAACTTGAATAGCTCCCATGAACGTTTGGGAACCCCGTTTCGTTTCAGTTGTCCTTTAGATAAATGAATATGTCTTAAACATGGTATAAATAAAAATAAAATTATATCTAGATTCTATATATTTCTATATGGGTAATTGTTTATTTATGATTGACACTGCCACAAAACAATCACTTAAAATAGTTTGTTTTCATACATGCAGTTTATTATTTCTATAATTAAGACAAGTCTAACGCCAAAGTTTTTTAAAATAGAAAATTTGTCCTGGCATGGTAAAACCTAAGATATTTGCAAGTGCCAGTCCATAAAACATGGATATGTATGACATGAATAATTTCGAACTGACATTCACCCCATGTCGTCCCCATTCCGCACCGGTGTAAGCACGCTTTATCAAATAAAAAAAAAGTTCAATGGAAGACTTACCAACTGGCTGGCATGTCGCCTGTTCCCACATCCCGTTAGCCTGACATGAAATCTTAGGTTTATTTCGCTGATATCCGGTCTCACAAGTCACAGTGGCTGTTGCACCAAACGTAGAATCTTGCTCAGTATTCATTGTTGATTGTCCGTTTTCAATTGGTGGTAAAGTGTTTCCACAGTCTTTAAAATATATATGTATATGAAATATATAATTCGTGTGCAGATTCGTTTCTTTGACACACAACGAAGAGTAGCAGACAAATGAAAAAATAAGGCTTTTATATTAGTGTGATAATGTTGGATTTAGTGTGATAATGTTGGATGTCTCGTATTTGAAAGAAAGATTGAAAAGTATTATAATTTATAATTATGTGAATTATGTGACGTCATGACTTAATCAATAAGCATAGCCATCACGTCATGACTTTATCGATAAGCATCGTCATGGCGTCATTATTGAATCGATAAGCATCGCCATGACGTCATGACTTAATTGATCCGCATCGCCATGACGTCATTACTAAATCGATTAGCATTGCCATTACGTCATGATATTAATCGATATGCATCGTCATGACTCAATCGAATCTAATTGTAAAGCAAAACATTATTTATTACAACTTGAATAGCTTCAATGAACGTTTATGACACAGTTTCGTTGCAATTGTCCTTTAGAAAAATGAAAATGTCTGAAACATGGTCAAAATATTAAAAAATTATATCTAGATTCTATTTATGTCTATATGGGTAATTGTTTATTTATGATTGACACTGCCGCAAAACAATCACTTAAAATAGTTTGTTTTCGTACATGCAGTTTATAATTTCTATAATTAAGACAAGTCTAACGCCACAGTTTGTCAAAATAGAAACTTGGTCCTAGCATGGTAAAACCTAAAATACTTTCCAAGTGCCAGTCCATAAAACACGGTAATGGTTGACATGAGTAATTTCGAACTGCCATTTACCCCATGTCGTCCCCATTCCGCACAGTTGAGGCAGGCTTTTATCGATTTTAAAAAACTGCTCAATGGAAGACTTACCAACTGGCTGGCATGCCGCCAGTTCCCACATCCCGTTAGCCTGACATGAAATCTTAGGTTTATTTCGCTGATATCCGGTCTCACAAGTCACAGTGGCTGTTGCACCAAACGTAGAATCTTGCTCACTATTCATTGTTGATTGTCCGTTTTCAATTGGTGGTAAAGTGTTTCCACAGTCTTTAAAATATATATGTATATGAAATATATAATTCGTGTGCAGATTCGTTTCTTTGAAACACAACGAAGAGTAGCAGACAAATGAAAAAAAAAGGCTTCTATATTTGTGTGATAATGTGGTTTTAGTTTGATAATGTTGGATTCTCGTATTTGAAAGAAAGATTGAATGAAGTTTTATAATTTAAAATTATGTGAATTATGTGACGTCATGATTTAATCGATATGTATAGCCATCACGTCATGACTTTATCGATAAGCATCGTTATGGCGTCATGATTTAATCGATAAACTTCGCCATGACCTCATGACTTAATTGATTCGCATCGCCATGACGTCATAACTTAATTGATAAGCATCGCAATGACGTCATTACTTAATCGATAAGCATCGCCTTGACGTCATGATATTAATTGAAAAGCATCGTCATGACTCAATCGAATCTAATTTTAAAGCAAAACATTATTTATAACAGCTTGAATAGCATCAATTAACGTTTGGGACACAGTTTCGTTGCAATTGTCTTTTAGAAAAATGAAAATGTCTGAAACATTGATTAAATTAAAAATGAAACTATATCTAGAGTCTATATATTTCTATATGGGTTATTGTTTATTTATGATTGATACTGCCGCAAAACAATCACTTAAAATAGTTTGTTTGCATACATGCAGTTTATTATTTCTATAATTAAGACAAGTCTAACGCCAAAGTTTTTTAAAATAGAAAATTTGTCCTGGCATGGTAAAACCTAAAATATTTGCAAGTGCCAGTCCATAAAACATGGATATGGTTGACATGAGCAATTTCAACTGCCATTCACCCCATGTCATCCCCATTCCGCACCGGTGTAAGCAGGCTTTATCGAATTTTAAAAAAAAGTTAAATGGAAAGACTTACCAACTGGCTGGCATGTCGCCTGTTCCCACATCCCGTTAGCCTGACATGAAATCTTAGGTTTATTTAGATAAATTTTATATCATTCCTTCTATAATTAAATTAAATTTATAGGTAAGGATGGTCTTAAATTTTATAATTTTACAAACTGACAGTAACAGTATGTGAAATTCAGTCACGTGACCATGTTTACGGAGCTGTCCAAGTTGTTCCATTCTTCTTACTAAAATATTTTTTAAATGTGCACAGAATAAAATATTGTTAATTTACATATAAGGAATTAAAAAGTTTAAACAGTTGTCAATACGGTTATTTATCGTTTTCTTTTGATAGAAAATTCCAGCACATTTGGATCCAGTCAGACACACTGGGTGCGGTGATGGCCAGAATATTACCCGGAAGTGAGAAACAGTTGATTCAGTTCAGGTGTCCGTCCATGAGTTATTACGCCTGGGGGTGTCAAAAGAGCGCAATACATATTTGGTGCGAAGCTTGCGAGCGTGTGTTAGTCAAGACAATCAGTTTTATCGTGCACTATTATAACAGTTTAGTGCATGTACATATTTCAAACTACTCGTTTCTATGTTCATCATACGGTATTATTGAATTGTTCTACATTGCTATGTTCTAAAGAATAAAATGTAAACGTAGAATTTTGAAATTTACTATTTATTTATTATTTTTCATAGCCCTAAAGACATTAAACGTTAATATACGAAGACTGATATACCATCGTTGTTTCTTTCTTTCTTTGTATTGGGTATATTCTTAAATTTGTATTCTGACTGGATGATTAAACCTATGCGACCGGTGCATACAAAAACCCACCAACACACCTGTGCCTTCTGATCGTGGTCTGCAATATTTGCTTTTCAGTCAGTACATATTTTGAAAAATTCAAGTAAAGATGATGAATGGCTTTGTCCAGATTGAAGATATGTAGTATGGTAATGGTTAAAACACAAATGATAAGCCGTGTATGATACGCTCGGTCGTGTTGTTATTACGTTGCTAAGCAACGATAATAGTCGCAATTAGCGAGAACACTCTTATTTACATAACTGTATTACTAATCTATCGCCGTTGCTTTCTTTTCTTTTATTTGAATGATTTGCGTGATTATTTTGCAAATATTTATAGTATAGAAGGTGTAACATTTAATGAAAAAGTACTTGGCATTGTGAAATTGTTTATTATTCTATATGCTGACGACACTGTTATTTTATCTGAGTCAGCAAACGATATACAAATTGCTATCAACCTATATAAAATTACTGTGACAACTGGAAAGTAAAAGTGAATACATCTTACAAAAAAGTTCTTGTGAAAGGTAGGCGAACGCAGTATAGTTTTACATATGGTAATGAAAATCTAGAAGTTGTCTAGGAATTCAAATACCTAGGAGTATTATTTGGTAGAAGTGGTAGGTTCTTAAAAGCAAAGACCTATATAGCTGACCAAGCAATAAATGCCTTTTATTGTTTAATTGAAAAATAAAAAAAACAAACTTCAAGTTCCTTTCAATATGTAAATAGATTTTTTTTGACAAACTTGTAAAACCAATTTTACGCTACAGTTGTGAATGCTGGGGATATGGTAATAACAGTATACTTGAAAAGGTACAATTGAAATATCTTAAACAGATATAAGGCCTTAACTCGAGAACACCAAATTGTATTGTGTACGTCGAATGTGGTGTTAAACTAATTTCTATTGATATTGATTGTAGAATAATTGACTTTTGGTCTGATCTAGTTGTACCTAATGAATTAAAACTATCCAGCACATTTGATCAAATTGCTCTTAAAACTTATTAAACAAGTAGTAATGTTAATAGACAGACATTTCTGTGATTTAAGCATATTAAAAATATACTTGTCAAATGTTGAAACCCTAATGTATGGACCTATCAGATGTTTCCTAATTATTGGCGGTTAGTTTCTATGTGAAGCAAAAATTGTCAGATTTATTTCTAAATGACTGGTATTGTACAGAATCGAGTAAATGTAAAAATAATAAATTATTTAAAGAAAAATTCCATTTCGAATCCTATTTAACAAATATACTAAAAACTTACTAAGATATGCAAAAACAAACAGCAGTCCTGAATGGTATAGATGTAGATTTACGTAAATGTACACTTTGTAGCAGCTCCGGAAGTATTGGAGATGAATTTCATTATCTCTTTGAATGCAATGAATTATTTGTGCTAAGAAAATGAATGTTAGATCGTAATTATGTACGACATCAAAATTATATTAACTTTTAAATCTATTATGAATATGAATACAACTCATTGTAATGAATATAGTAATTTTTGTTTATTTGTTAAGGAAATAATCCAAAATTTGATAATACATTTCTACATATTTGTTCAACATGTCCTTGAAAATGCCTGTCCTTCTCCATTTTGTTAAGATGAATTGTATTAATATTATTATTTTCATGTGTATGCTATGCCTCTTCATGTAATGTATGCTTATATGCTATAGCTCATATTGTCATGTGTGTGCATGAATTGAGTTCTGAAATACACTTTGGAATTTTGAAACTACTTTTTTACAGTTAGATAAAACTAATTGAGTTGATTAAAGATAAATAAAATTGCCACTTTAAAATCTTCAATTAATAAACGCCAACTAATTTTTTTCGACGTCATTTGTTAATAAATTGTTCAAATATATGACGTTCTTTAAATAGATATATCTTAATAAGTAACCTTTTGATTTAGAAATAGTTTTCACTATCTTATTCAGAAAGAAAATCTCTACAAAAATGAGATAAAAAACGAATTTCGAAAAAAATGTCATTAAGACCGGTTTTTTCACGTCGTGCGTCCTATATATTTCTACATCAGTTATTTTTATGGGTAATTATTTATAACTGACACTGTCCACAATAAAATGTTTGTTTTCATACATGAATTTTATTATTTCTATATTAAAGACAAGTCTTATGCAAAAGTTTGCCTGAAATATGTCAAAATAAAAAGTTTGCAAGTGCCAGCCCATAAAACATGGTTATGGGTGAAATGAGCAATTTCGAACTGCCATTCACCCCATGTCGTCCCCATTCCGCACCGGTGTAAGCAGACTTTATAAAATGCAAAAAAAAAGTTCAATGGAAGACTTACCAACTGGCTGGCATGTCGCCTGTTCCCACATCCCGTTAGCCTGACATGAAATCTTAGGTTTATTTCGCTGATATCCGGTCTCACAAGTCACAGTGGCTGTTGCACCAAACGTAGAATCTTGCTCAGTATTCATTGTTGATTGTCCGTTTTCAATTGGTGGTAAAGTGTTTCCACAGTCTTTAAAATATATATGTATATGAAATATATAATTCGTGTGCAGATTCGTTTCTTTGACACACAACGAAGAGTAGCAGACAAATGAAAAAATAAGGCTTTTATATTAGTGTGATAATGTTGGATTTAGTGTGATAATGTTGGATGTCTCGTATTTGAAAGAAAGATTGAAAAGTATTATAATTTATAATTATGTGAATTATGTGACGTCATGACTTAATCGATAAGCATAGCCATCACGTCATGACTTTATCGATAAGCATTTCCATGACGTCATGGTTTAATCAATAAGCATCGCCATGACCTCAGGACTTATTTGATCTGCATCGCCATGACGTCATTACTAAATCGATGAGCACTGCCATGATGTCATGATATTAATCGATTAGCATCGTCATGACTAAATCAAATCTAATTTTAAAGAAAAACATTATTTATAACAACTTGAATGGCTTCAATGAACGTTTTGGGACACAGTTTGAAATTGTCCATAAGACAAATGAATATGTCTGAAACATGGTCTAAATAAGAATAAAGTTATATCTAGATTCTTTATATTTCTATATGGGTAATTGTTTATTTATGATTGACACTGCCAGAAAACAATCACTTAAACTAGTTTGTTTTCATACATGCAGTTTATTATTTCTATAATTAGGACAAGTCTAACGTCAAAGTTTGTCAAAATAGAAACTTGGTCCTAGCATGGTAAAACCTAAAATACTTTCAAGTGCCAGTCCATAAAACACGGTAATGGTTGACATGAGTAATTTCGAACTGCCATTTACCCCATGTCGTCCCCATTCCGCACAGTTGAGGCAGGCTTTATCGATTTTAAAAAAAAGGTTCAATGGAAGACTTACCAACTGGCTGGCATGTCGCCTGTTCCCACATCCCGTTAGCCTGACATGAAATCTTAGGTTTATTTCGCTGATATCCGGTCTCACATGTCACAGTGGCTGTTGCACCAAACGTAGAATCTTGCTCAGTATTCATTGTTGATTGTCCGTTTTCGATTGGTGGTAAAGTGTTTCCACAGTCTTTAAAATATATATGTATATGAAATATATAATTCGTGTGCAGATTCGTTTCTTTGACACACAACGAAGAGTAGCAGACAAATGAAAAAAAAAGGCTTCTATATTTGTGTGATAATGTGGTTTTAGTTTGATAATGTTGGATGTCTCGTATTTGAAAGAAATATTGAAAGAAGTATTATAATTTATAATTATGTGAATTATGTGACGTCAAGATTTAATCGATAAGCATAGCCATCACGTCATGACTTTATCGATAAGCATCGTCATGACGTAATATTTTAATCGATAACCACGCCATGACCTCATGACTTAATTGTTCCGCAGCGCCATGACGTCATAACTTAATTGATAAGCATCGCCATGACGTCATTACTTAATCGATTAACATCGCCATGACGTCATAATATTAATTGAAAAGCATCGTCATGACTTAATCGAATCTAATTTTAAAGCAAAACATTATTTATAACAGCTTGAATAGCTTCAATGAACGTTTGGGACACAGTTTCGTTGCAATTGTCTTTTAGAAAAATGAAAATGTCTGAAACATTGATAAAATTAAAAATGAAACTATATCTAGATTCTATATATTTCTATATGGGTTATTGTTTATTTATGATTGACACTGTCGCAAAACAATCACTTAAAATAGTTTGTTTTCATACATGCAGTTTATTATTTCTATAATTAAAACAAGTCTAACGCCAAAGTTTTTTAATATAGAAAATTTGTCCTGGTATGGTAAAACCTAAAATATTTGCAAGTGCCAGTCCATAAAACATGGATATGGTTGACATGAGCAATTTCAAGCAGACTTTATAAAATGCAAAAAAAGGTTCAATGGAAGACTTACCAACTGGCTGGCATGTCGCCTGTTCCCACATCCCGTTAGCCTGACATGAAATCTTAGGTTTATTTCGCTGATATCCGGTCTCACAAGTCACAGTGGCTGTTGCACCAAACGTAGAATCTTGCTCAGTATTCATTGTTGATTGTCCGTTTTCAATTGGTGGTAAAGTGCTTCCACAGTCTTTAAAATATATATGTATATGAAATATATAATTCGTATGCAGATTCGTTTCTTTGACACACAGCGAAGAGCAGCAGACAAATATAAAAAATAAGGATTCTATATCAGTGTGATAATGTTGGATTTAGTGTGATAATGTTGGATGTCTTGTATTTAAAAGAAATATTGAAAAAAGTATTATAATAAATAAGTATGTGAATTATGTGACGTCATGACTTAATCGATAAGCATAGCCATCACGTCATGACTTTATCGATAAGCATCGTCATGGCGTCATTATTGAATCGATAAGCATCGCCATGACGTCATGACTTACTTGATCCGCATCGCCATGACGTCATTACTAAATCGATTAGCATTGCCATTACGTCATGATATTAATCGATATGCATCGTCATGACTCAATCGAATCTAATTGTAAAGCAAAACATTATTTATTACAACTTGAATAGCTTCAATGAACGTTTGGGACACAGTTTCGTTGCAATTGTCCTTTAGAAAAATGAAAATGTCTGAAACATGGTCAAAATATTAAAAAATTATATCTAGATTCTATTTATGTCTATATGGGTAATTGTTTATTTATGATTGACACTGCCGCAAAACAATCACTTAAAATAGTTTGTTTTCATACATGCAGTTTATAATTTCTATAATTAAGACAAGTCTAACGCCAAAGTTTGTCAAAATAGAAACTTGGTCCTAGCATGGTAAAACCTAAAATACTTTCAAGTGCCAGTCCATAAAACACGGTAATGGTTGACATGAGTAATTTCGAACTGCCATTTACCCCATGTCGTCCCCATTCCGCACAGTTGAGGCAGGCTTTATCGATTTTAAAAAACTGCTCAATGGAAGACTTACCAACTGGCTGGCATGCCGCCAGTTCCCACATCCCGTTAGCCTGACATGAAATCTTAGGTTTATTTCGCTGATATCCGGTCTCACAAGTCACAGTGGCTGTTGCACCAAACGTAGAATCTTGCTCACTATTCATTGTTGATTGTCCGTTTTCAATTGGTGGTAAAGTGTTTCCACAGTCTTTAAAATATATATGTATATGAAATATATAATTCGTGTGCAGATTCGTTTCTTTGAAACACAACGAAGAGTAGCAGACAAATGAAAAAAAAGGCTTCTATATTTGTGTGATAATGTGGTTTTAGTTTGATAATGTTGGATTCTCGTATTTGAAAGAAAGATTGAATGAAGTATTATAATTTAAAATTATGTGAATTATGTGACGTCATGATTTAATCGATATGTATAGCCATCACGTCATGACTTTATCGATAAGCATCGTTATGGCGTCATGATTTAATCGATAAACTTCGCCATGACCTCATGACTTAATTGATTCGCATCGCCATGACGTCATAACTTAATTGATAAGCATCGCAATGACGTCATTACTTAATCGATTTATATCGCCATGACGTCATGATATTAATCGATTAGCATCGTCATGACTTAATCGAATCTAATTTTAAAGTAAAACATTATTTATAACAGCCTTAATAGCTTCAATGAACGTTTGGGACACAATTTCGTTGCAATTGTCTTTTAGATAAATGAAAATGTCTGATAAAAATTAAATTATATCTAGATTCTATATATTTCTATATGGGTAATTGTTATTTATGATTGACACGGCCACAAAACAATCACTTAAAAAAATTGTTTTCATACAAGCAGTTTATTATTTCTATAATTAAGACAAGTCTAACGCCAAAGTTTGTTAAAATAGAAAATTTGTCCTGGCATGGTAAAACCTAAAATATTTGCAAGTGCCAGTCCATAAAACATGGATATGGTTGACATGAGCAATTTCAACTGCCATTCACCCCATGTCATCCCCATTCCGCACCGGTGTAAGCAGGCTTTATCGAATTTTAAAAAAAAGTTAAATGGAAAGACTTACCAACTGGCTGGCATGTCGCCTGTTCCCACATCCCGTTAGCCTGACATGAAATCTTAGGTTTATTTAGATAAATTTTATATCATTCCTTCTATAATTAAATTAAATTTATAGGTAAGGATGGTCTTAAATTTTATAATTTTTACAAACTGACAGTAACAGTATGTGAAATTCAGTCACGTGACCATGTTTACGGAGCTGTCCAAGTTGTTCCATTCTTCTAACTAAAATATTTTTAAATGTGCACAGAATAATATTATTGTTTATTTATAGAGGCATATTAGGAATTAAGTTTGTAACAGTTGTCAATACGGTTAGTTATCGTTTTCTTTTGATAGAAAATTCCAGCACATTCGGTTCCAGTCAGACACACTGGGTGCGGTGATGGCCAGAATAACACCCGAAAGCGAGAAACAGTTGATCAAAGTCTAAAAGTAACCAGGATTCGGTTCAGTTCAGGTGTCCGTCCATGATTTATTACGCCTGGGGGTGTCAAAAGAGAGCAATACATATTTGGTGCGAAGCTTGCGAGCGTGTGTTAGTCAAGACAATCAGTCTTATCGTGCACTATTATAACAGTTTAGTGCATGTACATATTTCAAACTACTCGTTTCTATGTTCATCATACGGTATTATTGAATTGTTCTACATTGCTATGTTCTAAAGAATAAAATGTAAACGTAGAATTTTGAAATTTACTATTTATTTATTATTTTTCATAGCCCTAAAGACATTAAACGTTAATATACGAAGACTGATATACCATCGTTGTTTCTTTCTTTCTTTGTATTGGGTATATTCTTAAATTTGTATTCTGACTGGATGATTAAACCTATGCGACCGGTGCATACAAAAACCCACCAACACACCTGTGCCTTCTGATCGTGGTCTGCAATATTTGCTTTTCAGTCAGTACATATTTTGAAAAATTCAAGTAAAGATGATGAATGGCTTTGTCCAGATTGAAGATATGTAGTATGGTAATGGTTAAAACACAAATGATAAGCCGTGTATGATACGCTCGGTCGTGTTGTTATTACGTTGCTAAGCAACGATAATAGTCGCAATTAGCGAGAACACTCTTATTTACATAACTGTATTACTAATCTATCGCCGTTGCTTTCTTTTCTTTTATTTGAATGATTTGCGTGATTATTTTGCAAATATTTATAGTATAGAAGGTGTAACATTTAATGAAAAAGTACTTGGCATTGTGAAATTGTTTATTATTCTATATGCTGACGACACTGTTATTTTATCTGAGTCAGCAAACGATATACAAATTGCTATCAACCTATATAAAATTACTGTGACAACTGGAAAGTAAAAGTGAATACATCTTACACAAAAGTTCTTGTGAAAGGTAGGCGAACGCAGTATAGTTTTACATATGGTAATGAAAATCTAGAAGTTGTCTAGGAATTCAAATACCTAGGAGTATTATTTGGTAGAAGTGGTAGGTTCTTAAAAGCAAAGACCTATATAGCTGACCAAGCAATAAATGCCTTTTATTGTTTAATTGAAAAATAAAAAAACAAACTTCAAGTTCCTTTCAATATGTAAATAGATTTTTTTTGACAAACTTGTAAAACCAATTTTACGCTACAGTTGTGAATGCTGGGGATATGGTAATAACAGTATACTTGAAAAGGTACAATTGAAATATCTTAAACAGATATAAGGCCTTAACTCGAGAACACCAAATTGTATTGTGTACGTCGAATGTGGTGTTAAACTAATTTCTATTGATATTGATTGTAGAATAATTAACTTTTGGTCTGATCTAGTTGTACCTAATGAATTAAAACTATCCAGCACATTTTATCAAATTGCTCTTAAAACTTATTAAACAAGTAGTAATGTTAATAGACAGACATTTCTGTGATTTAAGCATATTAAAAATATACTTGTCAAATGTTGAAACCCTAATGTATGGACCTATCAGATGTTTCCTAATTATTGGCGGTTAGTTTCTATGTGAAGCAAAAATTGTCAGATTTATTTCTAAATGACTGGTATTGTACAGAATCGAGTAAATGTAAAAATAATAAATTATTTAAAGAAAAATTCCATTTCGAATCCTATTTTACAAATATACCAAAAACTTACTAAGATATGCAAAAACAAACAGCAGTCCTGAATGGTATAGATGTAGATTTACGTAAATGTACACTTTGTAGCAGCTCCGGAAGTATTGGAGATGAATTTCATTATCTCGTTGAATGCAATGAATTATTTGTGCTAAGAAAATGAATGTTAGATCGTAATTATGTACGACATCAAAATTATATTACTTTTAAATCTATTATGAATATGAATACAACTCATTGTAATGAATATAGTAATTTTTGTTTATTTGTTAAGGAAATAATCCAAAATTTGATAATACATTTCTACATATTTGTTCAACATGTCCTTGAAAATGCCTGTCCTTCTCCATTTTGTTAAGATGAATTGTATTAATATTATTATTTTCATGTGTATGCTATGCCTCTTCATGTAATGTATGCTTATATGCTATAGCTCATATTGTCATGTGTGTGCATGAATTGAGTTCTGAAATACACTTTGGAATTTTGAAACTACTTTTTTACAGTTAGATAAAACTAATTGAGTTGATTAAAGATAAATAAAATTGCCACTTTAAAATTCTTCAATTAATAAACGCCAACTAATTTTTTTCGACGTCATTTGTTAATAAATTGTTCAAATATATGACGTTCTTTAAATAGATATATCTTAATAAGTAACCTTTTGATTTAGAAATAGTTTTCACTATCTTATTCAGAAAGAAAATCTCTACAAAAATGAGATAAAAAACGAATTTCGAAAAAAATGTCATTAAGACCGGTTTTTCACGTCGTGCGTCCTATATATTTCTACATCAGTTATTTTTATGGGTAATTATTTATAACTGACACTGTCCACAATAAAATGTTTGTTTTCATACATGAATTCTATTATTTCTATATTAAAGACAAGTCTTATGCAAAAGTTTGCCTGAAATATGTCAAAATAAAAAGTTTGCAAGTGCCAGCCCATAAAACATGGTTATGGGTGAAATGAGCAATTTCGAACTGCCATTCACCCCATGTCGTCCCCATTCCGCACCGGTGTAAGCAGACTTTATAAAATGCAAAAAAAGTTCAATGGAAGACTTACCAACTGGCTGGCATGTCGCCTGTTCCCACGTCCCGTTAGCCTGACATGAAATCTTAGGTTTATTTCGCTGATATCCGGTCTCACAAGTCACAGTGGCTGTTGCACCAAACGTAGAATCTTGCTCAGTATTCATTGTTGATTGTCCGTTTTCAATTGGTGGTAAAGTGTTTCCACACAGTCTTTAAAATAAATATGTAATAGTGAAATATATAATTCGTTGTGCAGGATCGTTTCTTTGACTACACAACGAAGAGTAAGCAGACAAAATAAGGCCTTCTATATTGGTGTGATAGATGTGGTTTTTGTCTTGATAAGATAAAGTCTCGTATTTGAAAGAAAAGATTGAATTGAAGTAAATTCATAAATTTTAAAAATTATGTGAATTATGTGGACGTTCATGATTTGAATTGCGATTATGTGAATAGCCATGTACGTTCATGACGTTTACGGATAAGCTATGCTTATGGCGTCATGATTTAAGTCGATTACTTCGGCCATGACCTTCATGACTTAATTGATTCGCATGCGCCATGACGTCACTGAACTTAATTGATAAGCAATCGCAATTGAAGTCATTACTTAATCGATAAGCATCGCCTTTGACGTCTATGATATTAAAGTTGAAGAATGCACTCGGTGAAAGAATGCTAATCGATGGGATCTAATTTTATTTATTTAGTAAACAGCTTGAATAGGCTTTCAATGAACGTTTGGACACAGTTATACGTTGCAATTGTCTTTTAGAAAAATGAAAAATGTCTGAAACATTGATCAAAAATTAAAAAAAAATTATATCTAGATTCTATTATGTCTATTGGGTAATGTTTATTTATGATTGACACTGCCGCAAAACAAATCACTTAAAATAGTTTGTTTTCATACATGCAGTTTATATTTCTATATTTAAGAGACAAGTCTAACGCCAAAGTTTTTTAAAATAGGAAACTTAGGTCCTGGCATGGTAAAACCTAAAATATTTGCAAGTGCCAGTCCAATAAAACACGGTATATGGTTGACATGAGTAATTTCGAGAACTGCCATTTCACCCCATGTTCCGTCCCCATTCCGCACGATGTAAGGCAGGCCTTTAATGCGATTTTCTAAAAAAGGTTCAATGGAAGACTTACCAACTGGCTGGCATGTCGCTGTTTCCCACATCCCGTTAGACCTGAACATGAAATCTTAGGTTTATTTCGCTGATATCCGGTCTCACAAGTCACAGTGGCTGTTGCAACCAAACGTAGAATCTTGCTCAGTATTCATTGTTTGATTGTTCCGTTTTCAATTGGTTGGTAAAGTGTTTCCACAGTCTTTAAAATATATATGTATATGAAATATATAATTCGTGTGCAGATTCGTTTCTTTGACACACAACGAAGAGTAGCAGACAAATGAAAAAAAAGGCTTCTATATTTGTGTGATAATGTGGTTTTAGTTTGATAATGTTGGATTCTCGTATTTGAAAGAAAGATTGAATGAAGTATTATAATTTAAAATTATGTGAATTATGTGACGTCATGATTTAATCGATATGTATAGCCATTACGTCATGACTTTATCGATAAGCATCGTTATGGCGTCATGATTTAATCGATAAACTTCGCCATGACCTCATGACTTAATTGATTCGCATCGCCATGACGTCATAACTTAATTGATAAGCATCGCAATGACGTCATTACTTAATCGATAAGCATCGCCTTGACGTCATGATATTAATTGAAAAGCATCGTCATGACTAAATCGAATCTAATTTTAAAGCAAAACATTATTTATAACAGCTTGAATAGCTTCAATTAACGTTTGGGACACAGTTTCGTTGCAATTGTCTTTTAGAAAAATGAAAATGTCTGAAACATTGTCTAAATTAAAAATTAAACTATATCTAGATTCTATATATTTCTATATGGGTTATTGTTTATTTATGATTGACACTGCCGCAAAACAATCACTTAAAATAGTTTGTTTTCATACATGCAGTTTATTATTTCTATAATTAAGACAAGTCTAACGCCAAAGTTTTTTAAAATAGAAACTTTGTCCTGGCATGGAAAAACCTAAAATATTTGCAAGTGCCAGTCCATAAAACATGGTTATGGTTGACATGAGCAATTTCGAACTGCCATTCACCCCATGTCGTCCCCATTCCGCACCGGTGTAAGCAGACTTTATCGAATTTTTAAAAAAAAGTTCAATGGAAAGACTTACCAACTGGCTGGCATGTCGCCTGTTCCCACATCCCGTTAGCCTGACATGAAATCTTAGGTTTATTTCGCTGATATCCGGTCTCACAAGTCACAGTGGCTGTTGCACCAAACGTAGAATCTTGCTCAGTATTCATTGTTGATTGTCCCTTTTCAATTTGTGGTAAAGTGTTTCCACAATCTTTAAAATATATATGTATATGAAATATATAATTTGTGTACAGATTCGGTTCTTTGTCACACAGCGAAGAGTAGCAGACAAATGAAAAAATAAGGCCTTTATATTTGTGTGATAATGTTTGATGTCTCGTATTTGAAAGAAATATTGAAAGAAGTATTATAATTTATAATTATGTGAATTATGTGACGTCAAGATTTAATCGATAAGCATAGCCATCACGTCATGACTTTATCGATAAGAATCGCCATGACGTCATGATATTAATTGAAAAACATCGTCATGACTGAATCGAATCTAATTTTTAAGCAAAACATTATTTATAACAGCTTGAATAGCTTCAATGAACGTTTGGGACACAGTTTCGTTTCAATTGTTTTTTAGAAAAATGAAAATGTCTGAAACATTGTCTAAATTAAAAATTAAATTATATCTAGTATCATGTATATATATTTCTATATGGGTTATGTGTTATGTCTTATGATTGACACTTGCCTAGCAAAACAATCACTTAAAATAGTTTGTTTCATACATGCAGTTTATTTATTTCTATAATTAACCCC